GTGTAGCGGGTGAGTGCGCCCATAACCCCCCAGACCGCCGTGCCTGTAACCCTTCCCTAGGATCAATCGGGGATCACCAGTGGACCTCTGACAAGGAGTTGGAGTTTTTAGGGCACGTTATCTCCCGCGACGGCATCAAAATTGACCCGGCGAAGATTAAAACCATACAGGAGTGGAAGGCCCCGACCAATGTCACGGGGCTTCAGAGTTTTCTGGGGTTCGTGAATTACGTCAGGCGGTTTATCCCGAATATGTCGGGGATAACCGGCCCGCTGACCGACCTACTGCACAAGGACAAGAATTTCGTGTGGGGGGAGGCGGCAGAGGCGGCTTTCCAGGAGCTCAAGAATTTTCTCGTTTCTCCTCCTGTACTGCGCATCGCCGACCCATCGAAGCCGTTCGAAGTTGTAACCGACGCCTCTGATTTCGCCATCGGAGCAGTGCTTCTCCAGGATTTCGGGAACGGGCTGCAGCCGATCGCCTACGAATCACGCAAGCTGCAAGCTGCCGAGCGCAACTACCCGATCCACGACAAGGAGATGCTCGCCATAATCCACGCGTTTAAACTGTGGCGATGCTACCTGGTGGGCACCAACGTCACTGTGCGCACGGTCCACAAGTCCCTACAGTATCTGCGAGCTCAACCGAACCTTAAAGCCGGGATCTCATGTAGTTTGGATATTTTCCAGGAGGTCCACGATTCGAATTACTCCGAATTACTTCGGGGTTGATAAAACCTAGAAATTACTGCACCGTCAATATTACTGGCCCGATTCTTCTAACGATGTGCAGCGTTATGTGTCCTCATGCAGGGTGTGCCAAGCCATGAAATCGACACGTCAGCGACCAGCTGGGCTGCTGCAACCCCTCGAGCCACCCGAAAGACCGTGGCAACAGGTGACGACGGATTTCGTCACGGGGATGCCAGCTGGGCCGTCCGGCAACGACGCTGTTCTCGTCGTCGTCGATCGCTTCACGAAAATGGCGCACTTCGCACCATGCCGAACGACGATCACAGCCGAAGAAACTGCGCGCCTCTTCATCTCAACGGTCGTGCGACTACACGGCATCCCTTCGGCGATCATCACCGACCGGGACCCGAAATTCACATCCAAGTTTTGGAAGGAGACATGGGCGCAGTACGGCACAAAGCTACAGTTCTCATCGGCATACCACCCACAGACGAACGGACAAACAGAGCGCACCAACCAAACGATGGAGCAGCTGATACGGACGAACTGCCCCGACCCCCGCACGATGGGAAGATTCCCTTGCAATGTTGGAATTCGCCTTCAACAACGCACCGTCGAGCACGCCTAATCACTCCCCGTTTTTCCTAAATTACGGGATGGATCCGACGGTCCCCACGGCGACTTCGCTCGAAAACCCGGTCCCGAGGTCACAAGCTTTTGTGACGGAACTTCAGCATATATGCGAGAAAGCAGCAGACGCAATTCGCAAGGCGAATATTACTTCCCGCAAATACACCGACCTCCTACGCCGGGAACTCGTCTTGACTACTGGGCAATTAGTGCTCCTCGACACGAAGAACCTGCACCTGCCCGGTCCATCGAAACTACGGCCCCGATTTTGCGGACCGTTCAAGATTATCAAGATGGTGACACCTGTCACCGCGAAGCTGTTGCTACCAGACGACTGACGCATTCACGACGCCTTCCACGTAAGCCTGCTTCGCAAGTTCGTGCCAGCCACGACCGACATTGCACGTCAGCAAGCTGCCCCGACAGCTCGACCTGTCCTAGAGCCGACACTCGACCCATTGAAAATTCTCGCCCATCGAGTTCGACTTGACGCAGCTGGCCGACACATGGATTTCCTAATCCGCTGGACTGACCGCACCAGTGAAGACGACACGTGGGTGCCATCCGTCTCGCTCGACGCCTCGCCACTTGTTGGTGATTACTTGGCCGCAAGCGTGTTTCGGATATTGACCGCCTTTCTTAAGGGGGGGGGGTGGTGTAAGGAATTTTCTCGAATTCCTTATCGGGGTTGACTACTGCGCGTACAACCTGATTTTCGGAGTTCGCACGTTCGGGCGATTTCCACGCTGCCGAAGCTCCTCGCGTCGCCTTCGGCATTTCCATCACCAAACCTGCACCCAACCTCGCTCACCCGAGGTTTCCTCCTAGCTAGGCTAGCCCTACATTAGTCTGTGCATTCATTGTATTCAAAATTGATTCAGTCAAAGTCTCGTTATTCGTTTACCTGCGTACTCTCTTTTACAACTCATAACATCTATGGTATACACGTACGGCATCGTATCAACCGCAATTACACAAACGGGAAGCGAACCATGCTGGACCCGCTACCCCTTATTACAGGTGTTCCGGGTTAAAGGCCATTGCTAGATGAGTCCATTTTCCATCCTGAGTAGAATTTTCCGATATTGCCTAGGGTTGTACCGACCCCTATAGTCCCATCTTTGGTGGGAAATTTTGAGGCTTGACCGAATCATTGCACGAATCAGCTCCGCAGCCAATCAGAGGCTCCAAATTGAACCATCCCAACATCCGGAGAAAATTATAGATAAGGGATCATCGATTCGACATTTAACCTCCAAATTCTAAGTAATTGTTTTTCTTGACCGTGATAACTTCTCAATCCTGTTGCGCGGTCTCCAGCGCGCTCGACGATGACATCACGTTTATCTCGTTTACAGGGTAAAACAGAAGTTTTTACCTTCTAATCGACCCCCAAACCATAGTTTATTTTGTTTTCTTTTTCCCGTTGGTCATGCGAAATTGATCAGCGCGTGGAAGCGTGTGACAAGAAGTTGAAGCCAGCGCAGTCCAAATTTAAGAAAAAGACCAAAAACCAAACATTTTAGCAAACAAACCACTATTCATGTAAATTGTCTGAACGGGACTATAAATATCGCGTTTTGTCTGGGGTTTGAAAATTTCGGCATACAGTCCACGCGCTTCGGCTCAACCCGTCGGACTATAAGCCGAAACACCTGTACTGTTTCGCACTGTGTGTAGAACTGTTCGGAATCCGTACATAATTTTGTACAGTGTACAGTATAGTCGTCGTTAGCGAAGCGAATGCCTGGGCTTGGTCCTTCCAACACAAGGCCGACCTCGAAGACGACGTTCATGGACGACACGACATCCGCGTTATAGCGCATCATACTCTCATATCAACCCAGCGGCGTGCGCGAAGCTGTCCATTCTAGCGTCGTCGCCCATAGTTCTGCTGCAAGCCCATATACCACAGATAGATACTCACCCACCACCGCACGGGCCGAGCACTCTCGCTCTTGCGCACTTCCGAGGTGCATAGTTCCGCAAGCCCTTATAGCACATCGCACCGCACAGACTCTGTGAGGATACTTTCCCAGCGCCGCGGCACTTCCGAGGCGCGTTTGGCCACACCATGGTTTTGAGCTGACGTCGCCTCGTTAAACTTCTCACGCGCTCGCCGCTCTTTCGTTCTGCGCGCCGCTTTCCCTCCCCCGCCGGTCGTGCAGCTCTCGCGGCTCGCTCTTCTGAAGCTGCTCTCGCGCGATAGTAGTGAACGACGACCAGCAAGTAGTGAACGACGGCCGGCAAGTAGTGAACGACGGTCGGCAAGTAATGCATGACGGCCGGCAGAGAGCATCTTTCGCCGAATCGGATGAAGGGACAGGGCGACATCCGTCAGTGGGCAGCTGGCGGCGCGGGGATGATAACGATGGCGAAACGCACTCGACAGCTGGCGATTGTGAGCCTCCTCTGAGCCTTGTCTTTTCCGAAACTTTCTCTGCAAAAAATCACAGTTGGGGGTAAGGTGGGAAAGCGGGGAGGAGGGGTGGGGGGGGGTGGGGTGGGGGGGGGGAAGGGGGATATAACGCCTCCCTACTACCCAGTGGGTCAAAACGGGGGTTTATATTTGAGGCACAGCGGAAGCACTCAAACTCACGTAGTACGCGTAAGCCCCACCCACAGTCGTTACAGGGTATTTCGGAAGGAAGGTGGGGATGATAATGACGGCGAGATGCGGCACTCGACAGCTGGTGATTGTGAGCCTCCTGAGCCGAGCCTAGCCTCGTCGTCACGTGTTGCCCACTGCTTTTTAGAAAAATGTTATTTTTTTTTTTTCTTTGTCGACTTTAAAATCCGGCGTCAACCTTGTTGTGTTGCCCCTGCTTCGGCAGCTGCGCGGCGACGCGACGCGACGCGACGCGCACTCCGAACCCGCGGCGAGTGCGATGAGATACGCGCGCTCCGTGTTTGATGCGGCGATTTTATATGCTTCGGCAGCTGCGCGCCGACGCGACGCGCGGAATCCGCGACGAGTGCGATGAGGCACGCGCGCTCCGTGGTTTGCCATGACGCGGCTTTTTAGTCAGCTCATTAATCTGCCTCGGCAGCTGCGCGCCCACGCGACGCGCGCTCCGAATCCGCGGCGAGTGCGATGAGGCACACGCGCTCCGTGTTTGGCATGACGCGACTTGTTAGTAAACTAAAATATCTGCCTCGGCAGCTGCGCGCCCACGCGACGCGCACACCGAATCCGAGTGCTGAAATTTTGAGCGCGCGAACGAGGCTCTCGGAATCGGCTCTCAAAAGCGCTCCGAATCCGAGTGCGCAAAGACTCACGCGACGCGCACGACACGCTCTTCGAATCCGAGTGCTGAGATTTGTGAGAGCGCCGCGTACGACACAATCGGAATGGGCTCTCAAAAACGCTCCGGATCCGAGTGCGCAAAGACTCACACTTGGCGAGGGTGCGGGGGAGGGCGGGAGGGGAAGGGAGAGGGGGGGAAGCCAAGAAGGAAGACGGGAGAGTTGAGAGGGGGGGGAGGAGATTGGGGGGGGAGAGGAAGGAGAGAAGGGAAAAGGGGGAGGGAGGGAGGGGGGGGGGGGGGGGGAGGAGGAGATAGGGGAAGCGGCTTTTGACAGATTGAGTCAGCTCGTTGCTGACTTGGATGGCCGCTGATGTCCCTGTGTTGGCCTTACTGACCCCCCTTAGATCTCTACCGTCGATTTTTGTCTCAATCAACAGCGTTTGATGTCGATAGCGGCATCCATTTGATCGCCCCATGCCATCGCCCCACACTGCATCGCCGCCCCATGCCGCATCGCCCCATGCCGCATCGCCCCATGCCGCATCGCCCCATGCCGCATCGCCGCCCCATATCGTATCGCCCCATATCGTATCGCCCCATATCGTATCGCCCCATATCGTATCGCCCCATATCGTATCGCCCCATGCCGTATCGCCCCATGCCGTATCGCCCCATATCGTATCGCCCCATATCGTATCGCCCCATATCGTATCACCCCATGCCGTACCAACACATGCCGTATCACCCCATGTGGGTTTTGCCCATGCGTCTGCCACGTGGCAGGGCATATCAACAGGCTGTCTCGTCACTGCCGTCCTCTCTCTCCTCGCCATGCACCAGGTGCGCCCTGCTGCTCTCTCCTCGCCATGCACCAGGTGCGCCCTGCTGCTCTCTCCTCGCCATGCACCAGGTGCGCCCTGCTGCTCCCTTGCTCCGCTCCCTCTTATTCACCTCACCAGATCCGATATGCTGCTCTGCGCTCTTTGTCCTGCTCCCTCCCATGCGCCCGGTGTCCACTGCTCCCATGTTTTGCTCGCATCACATGTCTGGAACTATTCGTCTATGTCAACACCCACACCCTTGCCTTTGCCATCACATGGCATGGCACGGTGTGGTATGACGTGGCATGTGACGTGGCATGGACCTGGCATGTGACCTGGTGTGTGACATGGCATGTGACGTGGCATGTGACGTGGCATGTGACGTGGCAGCAACACTTGTGGGCGGGGAGGAAGCCATCTGCTGACCTTGACTCGCGACTCAAGACGATTGAAGGTCCGTCCGCAGTTCCACTCTTCTCATTCCCCATGCCTTTGGAGTCGACTCATTAGTCACCTTGACGTACGACTCAAGATGTTTGAAGGTCTGTTTATTGTTCCACTCCTCCCATTCCACTCCTCCCATTCCACTCCTCCCATCCCACTCCTCCCATTCCACTCCTCCCATCCCACTCCTCCCATTCCACTCCTCCCATCCCACTCCTCCCATCCCACTCCTCCCATTCCACTCCTCCCATCCCACTCCTCCCATCCCACTCCTCCCATCCCACTCCTCCCATCCCACTCCTCCCATCCCACTCCTCCCATCCCACTCCTCCCATCCCACTCCTCCCATCCCACTCCTCCCATCCCACTCCTCCCATTCCACTCCTCCCATTCCACTCCTCCCATTCCACTCCTCCCATTCCACTCCTCCCATCCCACTCCTCCCATCCCACTCCTCCCATCCCACTCCTCCCATCCCACTCCTCCCATTCCCACTCCTCCCATCCCACTCCTCCCATCCCACTCCTCCCATCCCACTCCTCCCATCCCACTCCTCCCATCCCACTCCTCCCATCCCACTCCTCCCATCCCACTCCTCCCATCCCACTCCTCCCATCCCACTCCTACCATCCCACTCCTACCATCCCACTCCTCCCATCCCACTCCTCCCATCCCACTCCTCCCATCCCACTCCTCCCATCCCACTCCTCCCATCCCACTCCTCCCATCCCACTCCTCCCATCCCACTCCTCCCATCCCACTCCTCCCATCCCACTCCTCCCATCCCACTCCTCCCATCCCACTCCTCCCATCCCACTCCTCCCATCCCACTCCTCCCATCCCACTCCTCCCATCCCACTCCTCCCATCCCACTCCTCCCATCCCACTCCTCCCATCCCACTCCTCCCATCCCACTCCTCCCATCCCACTCCTCCCATCCCACTCCTCCCATCCCACTCCTCCCATCCCACTCCTCCCATCCCACTCCTCCCATCCCCTCCTCCCATCCCCCTCCTCCCATCCCACTCCTCCCATCCCACTCCTCCCATCCCACTCCTCCCATCCCACTCCTCCCATCCCACTCCTCCCATCCCACTCCTCCCATCCCACTCCTCCCATCCCACTCCTCCCATCCCACTCCTCCCATCCCACTCCTCCCATCCCACTCCTCCCATCCCACTCCTCCCATCCCACTCCTCCCATCCCACTCCTCCCATCCCACTCCTCCCATCCCACTCCTCCCATCCCACTCCTCCCATCCCACTCCTCCCATCCCACTCCTCCCATCCCACTCCTCCCATCCCACTCCTCCCATCCCACTCCTCCCATCCCACTCCTCCCATCCCACTCCTCCCATCCCACTCCTCCCATCCCACTCCTCCCATCCCACTCCTCCCATCCCACTCCTCCCATCCCACTCCTCCCATCCCACTCCTCCCATCCCACTCCTCCCATCCCACTCCTCCCATCCCACTCCTCCCATCCCACTCCTCCCATCCCACTCCTCCCATCCCACTCCTCCCATCCCACTCCTCCCATCCCACTCCTCCCATCCCACTCCTCCCATCCCACTCCTCCCATCCCACTCCTCCCATCCCACTCCTCCCATCCCACTCCTCCCATCCCACTCCTCCCATCCCGCTCCTCCCATCCCGCTCCTCCCATCCCGCTCCTCCCATCCCGCTCCTCCCATCCCGCTCCTCCCATCCCGCTCCTCCCATCCCGCTCCTCCCATCCCGCTCCTCCCATCCCGCTCCTCCCATCCCGCTCCTCCCATCCCGCTCCTCCCATCCCGCTCCTCCCATCCCGCTCCTCCCATCCCGCTCCTCCCATCCCGCTCCTCCCATCCCGCTCCTCCCATCCCGCTCCTCCCATCCCGCTCCTCCCATCCCGCTCCTCCCATCCCGCTCCTCCCATCCCGCTCCTCCCATCCCGCTCCTCCCATCCCGCTCCTCCCATCCCGCTCCTCCCATCCCGCTCCTCCCATCCCGCTCCTCCCATCCCGCTCCTCCCATCCCGCTCCTCCCATCCCGCTCCTCCCATCCCGCTCCTCCCATCCCGCTCCTCCCATCCCGCTCCTCCCATCCCGCTCCTCCCATCCCGCTCCTCCCATCCCGCTCCTCCCATCCCGCTCCTCCCATCCCGCTCCTCCCATCCCGCTCCTCCCATCCCGCTCCTCCCATCCCGCTCCTCCCATCCCGCTCCTCCCATCCCGCTCCTCCCATCCCGCTCCTCCCATCCCGCTCCTCCCATCCCGCTCCTCCCATCCCGCTCCTCCCATCCCGCTCCTCCCATCCCGCTCCTCCCATCCCGCTCCTCCCATCCCGCTCCTCCCATCCCGCTCCTCCCATCCCGCTCCTCCCATCCCGCTCCTCCCATCCCGCTCCTCCCATCCCGCTCCTCCCATCCCGCTCCTCCCATCCCGCTCCTCCCATCCCGCTCCTCCCATCCCGCTCCTCCCATCCCGCTCCTCCCATCCCGCTCCTCCCATCCCGCTCCTCCCATCCCGCTCCTCCCATCCCGCTCCTCCCATCCCGCTCCTCCCATCCCGCTCCTCCCATCCCGCTCCTCCCATCCCGCTCCTCCCATCCCGCTCCTCCCATCCCGCTCCTCCCATCCCCTCCTCCCATCCCCCTCCTCCCATCCCCCTCCTCCCATCCCCCTCCTCCCATCCCGCTCCTCCCATCCCGCTCCTCCCATCCCGCTCCTCCCATCCCGCTCCTCCCATCCCGCTCCTCCCATCCCGCTCCTCCCATCCCGCTCCTCCCATCCCGCTCCTCCCATCCCGCTCCTCCCATCCCGCTCCTCCCATCCCGCTCCTCCCATCCCGCTCCTCCCATCCCGCTCCTCCCATCCCGCTCCTCCCATCCCGCTCCTCCCATCCCGCTCCTCCCATCCCGCTCCTCCCATCCCGCTCCTCCCATCCCGCTCCTCCCATCCCGCTCCTCCCATCCCGCTCCTCCCATCCCGCTCCTCCCATCCCGCTCCTCCCATCCCGCTCCTCCCATCCCGCTCCTCCCATCCCGCTCCTCCCATCCCGCTCCTCCCATCCCGCTCCTCCCATCCCGCTCCTCCCATCCCGCTCCTCCCATCCCGCTCCTCCCATCCCGCTCCTCCCATCCCGCTCCTCCCATCCCGCTCCTCCCATCCCGCTCCTCCCATCCCGCTCCTCCCATCCCGCTCCTCCCATCCCGCTCCTCCCATCCCGCTCCTCCCATCCCGCTCCTCCCATCCCGCTCCTCCCATCCCGCTCCTCCCATCCCGCTCCTCCCATCCCGCTCCTCCCATCCCGCTCCTCCCATCCCGCTCCTCCCATCCCGCTCCTCCCATCCCGCTCCTCCCATCCCGCTCCTCCCATCCCGCTCCTCCCATCCCGCTCCTCCCATCCCGCTCCTCCCATCCCGCTCCTCCCATCCCGCTCCTCCCATCCCGCTCCTCCCATCCCGCTCCTCCCATCCCGCTCCTCCCATCCCGCTCCTCCCATCCCGCTCCTCCCATCCCGCTCCTCCCATCCCGCTCCTCCCATCCCGCTCCTCCCATCCCGCTCCTCCCATCCCGCTCCTCCCATCCCGCTCCTCCCATCCCGCTCCTCCCATCCCGCTCCTCCCATCCCGCTCCTCCCATCCCGCTCCTCCCATCCCGCTCCTCCCATCCCGCTCCTCCCATCCCGCTCCTCCCATCCCGCTCCTCCCATCCCGCTCCTCCCATCCCGCTCCTCCCATCCCGCTCCTCCCATCCCGCTCCTCCCATCCCGCTCCTCCCATCCCGCTCCTCCCATCCCGCTCCTCCCATCCCGCTCCTCCCATCCCGCTCCTCCCATCCCGCTCCTCCCATCCCGCTCCTCCCATCCCGCTCCTCCCATCCCGCTCCTCCCATCCCGCTCCTCCCATCCCGCTCCTCCCATCCCGCTCCTCCCATCCCGCTCCTCCCATCCCGCTCCTCCCATCCCGCTCCTCCCATCCCGCTCCTCCCATCCCGCTCCTCCCATCCCTCCCTCCCATCCCGCTCCTCCCATCCCGCTCCTCCCATCCCGCTCCTCCCATCCCGCTCCTCCCATCCCGCTCCTCCCATCCCTCTCCTCCCATCCCTCTCCTCCCATCCCGCTCCTCCCATCCCTCTCCTCCCATCCCTCCCTCCCATCCCTCTCCTCCCATCCCTCTCCTCCCATCCCTCTCCTCCCATCCCTCTCCTCCCATCCCACTCCTCCCATCCCACTCCTCCCATCCCACTCCTCCCATCCCACTCCTCCCATCCCACTCCTCCCATCCCACTCCTCCCATCCCACTCCTCCCATCCCACTCCTCCCATCCCACTCCTCCCATCCCACTCCTCCCATCCCACTCCTCCCATCCCACTCCTCCCATCCCACTCCTCCCATCCCACTCCTCCCATCCCACTCCTCCCATCCCACTCCTCCCATCCCACTCCTCCCATCCCACTCCTCCCATCCCACTCCTCCCATCCCACTCCTCCCATCCCACTCCTCCCATCCCACTCCTCCCATCCCACTCCTCCCATCCCACTCCTCCCATCCCACTCCTCCCATCCCACTCCTCCCATCCCACTCCTCCCATCCCACTCCTCCCATCCCACTCCTCCCATCCCACTCCTCCCATCCCACTCCTCCTCCCACTCCTCCCATCCCACTCCGCCCATCCCACTCCTCCCATCCCACTCCTCCCATCCCACTCCTCCCATCCCACTCCTCCCATCCCACTCCTCCCATCCCACTCCTCCCATCCCACTCCTCCCATCCCACTCCTCCCATCCCACTCCTCCCATCCCACTCCTCCCATCCCACTCCTCCCATCCCACTCCTCCCATCCCACTCCTCCCATCCCACTCCTCCCATCCCACTCCTCCCATCCCACTCCTCCCATCCCACTCCTCCCATCCCACTCCTCCCATCCCACTCCTCCCATCCCACTCCTCCCATCCCACTCCTCCCATCCCACTCCTCCCATCCCACTCCTCCCATCCCACTCCTCCCATCCCACTCCTCCCATCCCACTCCTCCCATCCCACTCCTCCCATCCCACTCCTCCCATCCCACTCCTCCCATCCCACTCCTCCCATCCCACTCCTCCCATCCCACTCCTCCCATCCCACTCCTCCCATCCCACTCCTCCCATCCCACTCCTCCCATCCCACTCCTCCCATCCCACTCCTCCCATCCCACTCCTCCCATCCCACTCCTCCCATCCCACTCCTCCCATCCCACTCCTCCCATCCCACTCCTCCCATCCCACTCCTCCCATCCCACTCCTCCCATCCCACTCCTCCCATCCCACTCCTCCCATCCCACTCCTCCCATCCCACTCCTCCCATCCCACTCCTCCCATCCCACTCCTCCCATCCCACTCCTCCCATCCCACTCCTCCCATCCCACTCCTCCCATCCCACTCCTCCCATCCCACTCCTCCCATCCCACTCCTCCCATCCCACTCCTCCCATCCCACTCCTCCCATCCCACTCCTCCCATCCCACTCCTCCCATCCCACTCCTCCCATCCCACTCCTCCCATCCCACTCCTCCCATCCCACTCCTCCCATCCCACTCCTCCCATCCCACTCCTCCCATCCCACTCCTCCCATCCCACTCCTCCCATCCCACTCCTCCCATCCCACTCCTCCCATCCCACTCCTCCCATCCCACTCCTCCCATCCCACTCCTCCCATCCCACTCCTCCCATCCCACTCCTCCCATCCCACTCCTCCCATCCCACTCCTCCCATCCCACTCCTCCCATCCCACTCCTCCCATCCCACTCCTCCCATCCCACTCCTCCCATCCCACTCTTCCCATGCTTCCCCTCCCTCCATGCTTCCCAGTCCCTCCATGCTTCCCAGTCCCTCCATGCTCCCCCTCCCTCCATGCTCCCCCTCCCTCCATGCTCCCCCTCCCTCCATGCTCCCATTCCCTCCATGCTCCCATTCCCTCCATGCTTCCCCTCCCTCCATGCTCCCATTCTCCATGCTCCCATTCCCTCCATGCTCCCCCTCCCTCCATGCTCCCCCTCCCTCCATGCTCCCCCTCCCTCCATGCTCCCATTCCCTCCATGCTTCCCCTCCCTCCATGCCCTCCATTCTCCCATTCCCTCACACCCATGTACCTCCCTTTTTCTGAATTCCTCCTTTTCCTTTTTGTCAACTTCCCTTTCTCTTACTAACCCCTCATCCCTCTTCCCCTCTCCGACCTCGCTTTTCCCCTTCTTTCCTGCCTCTCTTACTATATCCGTCCTTTCCCTATTTCCCCTGCCTCCTCCTCCCCTCCTGTCTCCGACCGACCCCCCCTCCTCCGCCCCCCCGTCTCCGCTCCCACGCCTCAATCCCCAACCTCCGTCCTTCTCCGTCCCCAGCATTCGCCTTCCTGCCTCCGCCGCCCCGCCTCCACCCCCAGACCTGCACCCCCGGTCCCCCCCCTGCCTCCTCCTCCCCGCCTCATTCCCCCGCTGCCCCACTCTTCCTCCCCTTACTACCTCCCCCTCCTTGCTTCCCGTCCTTGTCCTACCTCGAACCCCCTGCCCCCTGCCTTCTCCCCTCTCCCCTCTTCCTTTTCAGAGTACGTGGCATGAATCGCAGCAGAGAACGTGACGTGGGTGGTGAGGGAGGAGGTGGGGCGGCTGGGCGGGCAGCTAGAGACCGTGCATGCGCTGCAGCGCGCCAGATCCAAGGCTAGAACGCGGCGCCCCCCCTCCTTCTTCCCCCTCCCCCTCCCTCCCCACAGAGTATGTGGCACGGATTGCAGCGGAAAATGTAGCTGGAGTGGTGCGCGAGGAGGTGGGGCGGCTGGGCGGGCAGGTAGAGATAGTGCACGCGCTGCAGCGCGCCAGAGCCAAGGCGGGTGGCAGGAACGGGACGGCGGACGGCAACGGGACGGCGGACTGGGGTGGCGACTGGGCGGCGGTGCTGGAGGCGCGCGCACGGGACGCGGAGCAGCGGGCGGCGCAGCTGAATGAGACGGTGGAGCGACTCTCAGCTAGCATGAGGAAGCAGGCGGCTGAGATTGTGGCTCTTAAGGTGGGTGCAATGCGGTGCAGTGCGGTGCGGTGCGGTACGGTGCGGTCAAGGTGGGTGCAGTGCGGTGCAGTGTGTGGACTTATGGACACCACCTGCAGCTGAATGAGACGGTGGAGCGGCTCACAGCTATTCCTCCATCTCTCTCCATCTCTCTTCATCCCTCCCCATCCCTCCCATCTCTCTCCATCCCTCTCCATCCCTCTCCATCCCTCTCCATCCCTCTCCATCTCTCTCCATCCTTTGCTCACACTGAGGCAGCAGAGCAGGTGGCAGCTGGAGCAGCAGGGGGCTGTTCAGGCAGCCAAAAGGCATCTTAACCCTATCCCCGCTCCCCACGCTCCTACCCTCAATCTGCTGTGCGTGCATGTGCGTGCATGTGCGTGCATGCACACCCACAGGCAGCGGAGCAGGTGGCAGCGGGAGCAGGGGAGCTGCGCAAGCGCCCTCGCGGCAAGATGGTGGTGCTGGACGATGGCCCCTCGCGCTGGCGCCAGCACACCTTCCATCGCTCCGGTGCCTATGGTTTCATCCAGTACAGGTACCACCCACGCACCCATGCAACCATGCACGCACCCACGCATCATGCGCGCACATCACCTAGAGGGGCAAGATGGTGGTGCTGGATGATGATCCCTCGCGCTGGCGCCAGCACACCTTCCATCGCTCCGGTGCCTATGGTTTCATCCAGTACAGGTGAGCGGGGGAGCGTGCAAGCACCCCCATCCCTCTGCAAGCAGTTCGTACCGGCTGGAACCGGCACGCATCGTGGTGGTAGGGCTGGGTGAACTGTCCCAACGCACTGATTGATGTGTCGCAACCGAACGCCCGCCTCTGACCCCCCTCTCCTCTTCCCACCCACCTATCCCCCCTCACCCCTCCCCACCCCTCTGCAAGCAGTGCGCACCGATTAGAACCGGCCCGCATTGTGGTGGTGGGGCTGGGCGCGGTGGCGCAGCGCAGCAAGCGGCTTATTAGGCTTCTCATATCTCCGCACCCACCCATCCCCCCTCACCCCTCCCCACCCCTCTGCGAGCAGTGCAAACCGGATGGAACCAGCACGCATTGTGGTGGTCGGGTTGGGCGCGCTGGGGCAGCGCAGCAAGCGGTTTTCGAGGCGCCTCAAGTCGAACCTCTTTTCTCACCCGCCCCTTCCTCAATCCCCCCTCTCGCCCTCCCACCTTCACCACTCCTCCACAAGCAGTGCGTACCGATTAGAACCGGCCCGCATCGTGGTGGTGGGGCTGGGTGCTCTCGCTCTGCGCAGCAAGAGGCGGTTGGAGGGGTGCTGGTGGCACAAGATGGACGGGCACACGGTGATAAACGGCAAGCTTACACAGATGGTGATGGAGGAACATCACAACTTCCTGGTGGGTTGGGGGGGGTGGTTTGTGGATTGACTAGAGAATTGCCGAATTCTTCAGCCCAACTTTGTCCCAACTTAGATGGATGGAGTGGAAGAGTGACGATGAAACACCCCCGTTGCCCAATTATTCAGCTTGCCCCTGTGCTTTGTGCGGCTGTGTCTTCCTCTATGCTGCTGCTGCTGCGTGGTGTGGTGTGGTGCTATGTGCTGCTGTGTGCTGTGGTGTGTTGTGGTGAGTTGCTGTGTGCTGCGGTGTGGTGCAATATGCTGCGGTCTGGTGCGGTGCCACTGTGTGCAGTACGAGATGGTGGTGCTGCAGTGCACATTGGAGGAGGAGGTGGAGGAGACGGGAGGGCATCTGCGGATCTATATGGACCGCCAGATGCTCTACCCTTACCGAGAAGACGTCAAGGAGGTGAGCACTGGATGAAGGTTGAGGCGTCTCAAAAGTGGTGCTGTGCTGCAGTGCACGTTGGAGAAGCAGGTGGAGGAGATGGTAGGGCATCTGCGGACCTACCTCGATCGCCAGATGCTCTAACCTTACCGCGAGGATGTCAAGGAGGTGAGCACGTCTCAAAAATCGCCAGATTCACCTAAGGCCGAGGGCATCTGCGGATCTACCTTGACGGCCAAATGCTCTACCCCTACCGAGAAGATGTCGCGTGAAATGAGTCTTGTTTTGAGTCGACTCAAAACACGGGCGTCTGCGGATCTATCATGACTGTCAGATGCTCTACCCTTGCCGGGAAGATGGCAAGGGGGTGAGGACGGATGGCAAGGGGGTGAGGACGGATGGGAAGGGGGTGAGGACGGGTCTCTTCTCCCTCCCTCCTTCCCTTAACCCAGAGGCTCAAGGCAGCAGAGGACCCACTGCCGCGGCGCCCGGTGTACTATGCTCTACCGCTCCCCACTACGCGGAACTTGAAGAGCTCAGCGCAGCGTGGTGCAGTTCGTCCTCTACCACCGCTACCCCCCTCCCTTCCGCCCAAACCAGAAGCTCAAGGGAGCAGAGGGACCACTCCCCTGGCGCATGGCCTACTGTATTGACTTTTGAGTCGACTCAAAAGTCAACATGGCCTACTGTAGGCTCCACGCTCTATGCTGAACTGGCAGAAAGAAGCGTCATCCAGTTCATCCACTACCACCGCTCCCACATTCGCTCCATCTCTCTCCTCCCTCCTTCCCCCCAACCCAGAGTCTCAAGCAACCAGACGGCCCACTGCCCTGGCACATGGCATACTGCGGCTCCACACTCTACGCAGAGCTAGCAGAGCGCAGCATGATCCAGTTCATCCACTACCACCGCTACGCCCCCTCCATCCCTTGCTCCCTCCCTCTCTTGCTACCACCGCTCCACCCCAACCCAGAGTCTCAAAGCACCAGACGGCCCACTGCCCTGGCGCATGGCCTACTGCGGCTCAACATTGTATGCTGAACTAGCAGAGCGCAGCATGATCCAGTTCATCCACTACCACCGCTACGAAGGCGGCTACGACCACTTTGTGTTCTATGACACGATCGGGCTGCCTGCCTCCTTGCCTCCCTGCCCGTACCACCAACCCAGAGTCTCAAGGCACCAGAGGGCCCACTGCCCTGGCGCATGGCCTACTGCGGCTCAACATTGTATGCGGAGCTAGCAGAGCGCAGCATGATCCAGTTCATCCACTACCACCGCTACGCGGGAGGCTACGACCACTTTGTCTTCTACGACACCATCGGGCTGCCTGCGTCGCTCATGGCGATGCTACAGCCCATGCTGGACGAGGGGCTCGTGTCTGTCTCCGACTTCACCCAGTCGTACCAGTACGACTCCTGGTTCTACTCCCAGGTACGCTGCAAGCTGGTTATCAATGTCCCCATCGCTCATGGCGATGCTACAGCCCGTGCTGGACGAGGGGCTGGTCACTGTCTCCGAATTCACCCAGTCGTATCAATATGACTCCTGGTTTTACTCCCAGGTGCGCCGTGCTACCTCCCAGGTACGCCGTACCCCTTCCCTCCAGGTTGCAGTGCCTCCCAGGTGCGTTACACTGCCTCGTCGCAGGTGCATTTCCCCTTGGAACAGATGTGAACCAAGTTGCATGCAGCCCATGCTGGACGAGGGGCTGGTCACTGTCTCCGACTTCACCCAGTCGTATCAATATGACTCCCAGGTGCGCTGCTGCCTCCCAGGTGCGCTGCTGCCTCCCAGGTGCGCTGCTGCCCATGCATGCAGCCCATGCTGGATGAGGGGCTGGTCACTGTCTCCGACTTCACCCAGTCATATCAATATGACTCCTGGTTCTACTCCCAGGTGCGCCGTGCCCCCTCCCTCCTTGTCACCTTCCGGTTGAGTCTCTGTGAGTTCTGAGTAAGCAGCTATGCAGGAGGCTACGATCACCTTATTTTCCCAGTACGATGCCTGGTTCTACTCCCAGGTGCGGCGTTGTTACGTCGTTTCTAGAATTGTCTATCCGCCTGCTCCTACCCCCTGCAAATCCCTACCTCCCCCCTCCTCCACCCTATCTCACCTACCCCACCCTCCCCTCTCAGGCAGTGGCGATGCATGACGGCATGTATCGCATGTGCACACAGGCCGACTGGATCGCCTTCCACGACTAGATGGTGTTCAATACCTGTCCCCTTTCCTCCTCACCCCACTCCCCCAACAGGCAGTGGCGATGCATGACGGCATGTATCGCATGTGCACACAGGCCGACTGGATCGCCTTCCACGACTAGATGGTGTTCAATACCTGTCCCCTTTCCTCCTCACCCCACTCCCCCACCAGGCAGTGGCGATGCATGACGGCATGTGTCGCATGCGCACATAGGCCGACTGGATCGCCTCCCACGATCCACCCTCTCCCCCACCTCACCCCTCCTCCTCCCCCCGTATCCTCCTCTCCTTCCCCACCAGGCAGTGGCGATGCATGACTGCATGTATCGCATGCGTACACAGGCCGACTGGGTAGCCTTTCACGATCTAGACGAGTACCTCGTCGTGCCGCCACCCGCAACCCTCCCAACCTTCCTCCACCGCTTCGAATCCCTCCCGTACATCACACTCGGGACCTACGTGTTCTCGGCGCATATATGCGAGGAGGACGGGCCGGAGGACGTGTGGAGCGACGAGGAGAAGCGGTTTGCGGTTGAGAGAATGCTGCAGCGGCGGAAGAATCCGTATTGCCTAAGAGGGGAGGATGATCCCAAGGTGTGCATCGACTACTTCGGGCACAGGAAGATGTTTGTTAACCCCCGCAAGGTGCGTGCTGCTTGGTTCTATGGTGGTGCTGCTGGTGCTGGTAGTGTCACCGAATATGCACGATTGTGCATATAAGGTGACAGTATTGAGGAGGTGTAGTTACGGTGTAGTTATGTTGTACTTGCAGGTTCGAGGTTAGGTAGGTGGGGGGCTGGGAAATTGATGCGAAGTTGGTAGGAGAGCACCAAGGGGTGAAATCCATGCAGCCAATCGGAACGAACCAATCCAGGCTCGAGCCGCACATTGAGAAATGCACGGTTCGAGCCAGGGTCAGGTAAGTTCACTCTCACACACACACACAATGCTTTCTGTTTGTTATCCTTTCGTATAGTGGACTGCTGTTACCTAAGCCTTGCACACAGGTGGCACACCACTCAGGGAGGACCTTTGAGGTGAGAGTTACATCGCTTTCATAACAAACAGAAAGGGTGCGTGTACAAGCATGGATGCGTACGAGCTGCGCTACGGCAGGAATTACGGTCGCCGTGAGGAGGATCGCTCGCGGCGCGATCGCTCACGTGAACGCGGGCGGTCGCTGGAGAGGTCGCCGCGGCGGCCTGAGCGATCGACGCGGTGGCCGGCCTTTCGCGCGGATCAGGTCCCCCTTGCGCCAGATCGCCAGGAGGGAAGATCTGCACGAGAAGGGGGAGGCGGATCTGGATCTGCCACGATGGGAAGCGACCCATGGCGGACGGACGGACGTCGTGGAGACGATGGCGGTCATGGGTACCGTCAGGACACGGGAGCTTACCGCTCGCCGGAGGAAGGTTATCGCCGTCGCGAAGATCGAAGTCGTGGGCGAGGCCTGGAGGAGCTCTTCTCGGGTCGCCAGGGCGACCTTGATGTGGATGGAGAAGACGAGGTCGATTCGGCGAATCGAGTGCGGGAGACGACGCGTGATGGTGAGATCAAGGGCGATGACGAATCCCAGGATCAAGGCGCAGGCGAGCAGCGCGATATGCCCGCTGGAGTTGTTGACGGCGATCCCGTGCAGACGGGCGTGGCGGCGGAGCCAAGCACGGCGGAGGCGAACGAGAAAGGCGGTACTTGAGACCTGCCGCGCGACGGGGAAAGAGGCGACGGCGGGGGGCGTGGCGGCGGCGCGCGCTCTCCAGGTCCGCGCCGGCAGCGCGACGAGGGACGGGGCGACGGCGCACGTTCGCCTGATCCACGCCGGAGTCGGGACAAAGGATGCGGCGGCGAGGCACGCTCACCAGAGCCACGGCTGGATCGTGGTGGGGGACACGACGGAGGGACGCACTCGCCAGATCCGCGGACGTATCGGGAAGGGGGGCGCAGCGGCGGTGCGCGCTCGCCAGATCGGTGGATCGGTGGCAAAATCGTGGCGGGGAAGGCGGTGGCGGCGCGCGCTCGCCAGACCCACGACGTACACACGGGGGCGAGAGGCACGGAGGCGGCTACCGCTCGCCAGCTCGGCAGCAGCTGCATGAAGAGAGGCGCAGAGGCGGCTACCGCTCACCTGAATCATGGCAGCGGCAAGACGATGGACGCTGGGGGAGTGGGCGCTCACCGGATCCGCGGAGGTATCACAACGTGAGAAGCGAAGGGGAGCGGCGCTCTCCAGGTCCTCGCTATCCGCGTGAAGAGAGGCGCGGAGGCGGCTACCGCTCGCCTGATCTGCAACGGTATCGTGGAGAGAGGTGGGGAAGCGAGACGCGCTCGCCCGACTGGCACAGGCAACCTGGAGAAAGCCGGGGAGGCGGATACGGCTCGCATTCTCGGCAACAGAACAGGGATGGAGGGCGCGGCGGTGGGCAGCGCTCACCTGATCGGTATTGGCAGCAGGACGGAAGACGCGCTAGCGAGGAAGGAAGAGAGCAACGCAACAGCAGGGAAGGAGGCAGCGGGCTGATGCACAGCCTGGAGCGGGCCAGAGAGGCAAGAGAGGGAATACTGCGGGCGAAAGAGAGAGGAGCATCAGGGAGATCAGCAGAAGGGCCGAGCGAGGCGTGGGGAGAAGGTAAGGGAAGCGCGGCAATGGTCGCGAGGGTGGAAGTACCAGCACGCTTCTCAGGAGACCAGCATGTGGGCCCCACGCTGAAGAACTATCTGATGCAGGTTGGCAACGTGCGGTACAGATGCGAAAGGGACTCGGTGGACTTCTTCCTGAGTCTGCCGAACACATTGGAAGGGGAGGCGGAGACGTTGTACAGGATGAAGATGGATGAGCTGCTGGATAGGGCAGGGAGGTACGGGGAAGACCCTACTGAAGCATTCCTGAGGCGGCTAAAGCGGCAGTTTCCAGGTCATACTGCAGAGAAAATCAGGGAGTTTCAGGATTTCAGGAAGGGGCGGAGTGAGTCACTACTCACCTACTATAACCGATTCGTCAATTTGGCAGAGGATGTGGCCTGCGCAGACACGGCCCTGCTCGTAAGCAAGTTCCTGGATGGGCTGGAAGGCACTCTGGGAAGCGGGCTGCGGATGAAAGTGTATGAAATGGGAGCTGACACCGCGCTTGAGGAGGTGTTTGAGCTGGCAGAGAAGATGGAGCTGGCGCAGAGGAAATATGAGGCATACAGGCCCAGGCAGGCGGAGCGAGGCAGGGGACCTACATGGGCTGCTGCCATGATACCGGAGGTGAGGGATAGAGCAGCAGGGAGAGGAGAGACCAGGCCCGACACACGGACGTGCCACAGGTGTGGGCAGCCAGGACACTTGCGAAGGGACTGTAAGAACTGTGACTCTTGTGGTAAGCCAGGGCACCGGCGGCGGGAATGTCCAACGGCCGCAAAGTGTGAAGTATGTGGGAAGGGAGGACATGCAGCGAAGGAGTGTTATCAGCGGGAGGGAGCAGCGAAGAAAACGCCAGAGGAACTGGAGAAGCAGATTGGCAGGCTGCAAGCTCAGCTGCAGGCAATGGGACCACGGCGGGAAGCAGAAGCGGGGATGTACGCCAAGGAAGAGGAAGAGGAGGACGTGGAACAGGATGAGGATGCCGCATTTATGGTGTGGCAAGGAAGAGAAGAGCAGGAGACAGAGCATGAGGAGCAGCCAGCTTATATAACAAACAGAAAGGGTGCGCGTACAAGCATGGATGTGTACGAGCTGCGTTACGGCAGGTATTACGGACGCCGTGAGGAGGATCGCCCACGGTGCGAACGCTCACGTGAGCGAGGACGTTCCTTGGAGAGGTCGCCGCGGCGACCTGAGCGATTTCCGCGGTGGCCGGCCTTTCGCGCGGATCAGGTACCTCTCGCGCCAGATCGGCAAGAGGGAAGATCCGCTCGAGAAGGAAGAGGCGGATCCGGATCTGTCACGATGGGAAGCGACCCATGGCGGACGGACGGGCGTCACGGAGCTGAGGGCGGTTATGGGTACCGCCAGGACACGGGAGCGTACCGCTCGCCGGAGGAAGGCTATCGCCGTCGCGAAGAGAGAAGTCGTGGGCGAGGCCTGGAGGAGTTCTTCTCAGGTCGCCAAGGCGATCTTGACGTGGATGGCGACGACGAGGCCGACTCGGCGAATCGAGTGCGGGAGACGAACCGTGATGGTGAGTTCAAGGGCGATGACGAATCCCCGGAGGAAGGCGCAGGCGAGCAGCGCGAAAAGCCCGCTGAAGTCGAGGACAAGGATCCCGCGCAGGCGGGCGTGGCGGCGGATCCGAGCACGGTGGAGGCGGACGGAAAGGGCGGTAGTCGAGATCTGCCGCACGACGAAGAGAAAGGCGACGGCGGGGGGCGTGGCAGTGGCGCGCGCGCTTCAGATTCGCGTCAGCAGCGTGACGAGGGACGTGGCGGCGGCGCGCGTTCGCCTGATCCGCGCCTGAATCGGGACGGAGGACGCGGCGGCAGTGCGCGCTCGCCAGATCCGCGGATGTACCGGGAAGGGGGGGCGTGTGGCGACTCGCGCGCGCCGGATCGGCGGCAGAACTATGGCGGGGAAGGCGGTAGCGGCGCACGCTCACCAGACCCACGACGTCCGCACGGGAGCGAGAGGCATGGAAGCGGCTATCGCTCGCCAGTGCGGCAGCAGCTACATGAAGACAGGTGCAGGGGCGGCTACCGCTCGCCTGAGCCACGGCAGTACCAAGACAATGGGCGCGGGGGAAGTGGGCGCTCACCAGATCCGCGGAGGTATCACGACTGGAGAGGCGGAGGGGAGCGGCGCTCTCCAGGTCCCCGGTATCCACGTGACGAGGGACGCGGAGGCGACTACCGCTCGCCTGGTCGGCAACGGTATCATGGAGAGAGATGGGGAAGCGAGACGCACTCGCCCGAGTGGCACAGGCGACCTGGAGAAAGCAGGGAAGGCGGACATGGCTCGCGGCCACGGCAACAGAGCCGGGAAGGGGGGCGCGGCTATGGGCATCACTCACCTGATCGGTACGGGCGGTATGACGGAAGGCGTGCCAGTGAGGAAGGACGGGATCAGCGCGGCAGCAGAGAAGGAGGCAGTGGGCTGATGCACAGCCTGGAGCGAGCCAGAGAGGCAAGGGAAGGATTATTGCGGGCGAGAGAGAGAGGAGCATCAGGGAGATCGGCAGAAGGGCCGAGCGAGGCGTGGGGAGAAGGCAAGGGAAGCACGGCAATGGTCACGAGGGTGGAAGTGCCAACACGCTTCTCAGGAGACCAGCGTACGGGCCCCACACTGAAGAATTACCTGATGCAGGTTGGCAACGTGCGGTACCGGTGCGAAAGGAGCGGCATGGACTCAGTGGACTTCTTCCTGAGTCTGCCGAACACATTAGAAGGGGAGGCGGAGACGTTATACAGGATGAAGATGGATGAGCTACTGGACAGGGCAGGAAGGTACGGGGAGGACCCCACTGAGGCATTCCTGAGGCGGCTAAAGCGGCAGTTTCCAGGGCACACGGCAGAGAAAATCAGAGAGTTTCAAGATTTCATGAAGGGGCGGAGTGAGTCACTGCTCACCTACTATAACCGCCTGGTCAACTTGGCAGAGGATGTGGCCTGCGCAGACACGGCCCTGCTTGTGAGTAAGTTCCTGGATGGGCTGGAGGGCACTTTGGGAAGCGG